TCTTTTCATTTCTACGCATTTAATAATTAAGAACAGTACTACAAATGCTGGCAGATGCCATGATTAACATGAAACCCTATACCCCGCCCTAAAGATGACAAGTACAGTGACTTCGCCCCTATGGAGGAAGGTCTGCCCGCAATCAAACAAACCCATCATGGCTCTCGAGAACTTGACACTCTTTGCTTCACATGAAAAACCTTGATTTTTGGACTTCTTGTTTGGGATTTTACCTTTAGCACATTGAACTAAGCTTTTTTGCATTTCATGACTAACTTTGAGTTGGACTCGTGAACGTACAAAGTATGCACTTGTATTTGAAAATTAAGCAAATGTGTCTCCTTGCTTATTGGAATGGAGGATATATTGAATTGAATCACTCCTTTAAGAACTAATTTTCTTGAGGGAATACCGAGTACCAAAACAATTAAGTTAAGTTAAAAGGATCTGATATGAGATCTTTCAGTAGTCTTTTAAAATTGCTCTCTGCAACAAAAACAATCTAGTGCATGCATGGCTGTTATTGTACTTAATTATTATAATTCCCAACAAACAGAAATGCAGCTGGTAGGGAAAGTTGAAGTCAAAGGGCTCTAAAAGAACACCAGAATGAATCGCGAGGGGATTTGTTTATATGAGGTTTCCATTAACGCCTCCCCAACGAAAGGTAGGAGATCAGAGATTTTCAGTATAAAAACGGAAGTGTGTGTCCTTTGTGTTTGCACTTAAATATTAGGTTTGACCATGCTTTTGTCTCTCCATTGCCATTGGTTTTTATTAATGGTGTTTCTGTCGAAATGCTCAAGTTGCCTAATTATATGCCTTGTCCGGATCCTTTTGAGAGATCTGGTGAGCACTAGAAAATAGCAGATTTGCAGTTGACGAGAGAGTTTGAAGACAAAAGATGCCCAAACTCAGAAATCTATGAACATCACACGGATTGTAATCACTTAAACAAAAGGATGCTTTATTAAGAAATATATAGTGGTTTATTAATTTCAATAAACAAAATTGAGCAAAAATATTCCAATCTCATTCCATTCCATGTGAGTCAAGTTTAATCATGGGCGAGAACTATGGGTCATATGCACTAGGCCTATGAAGCTCGGTTTCAAAGCCCAAGCGGCTGACCCTTTGACCCACCATGTGAAGAGCTCGAGCTAGGCTTGAAGTTGGGTAAGTTTTTCGAGCTAACTTCAACTTAGTAGCCAACCCGAATCAGAGAAAGTTCGATTTGGTTGGGCTCAGTTTGCACGACTAACCTCTGGCTCTAAAGAATGGGCTCAGGGGCCAGGGCAAGGCTGCAAGCATACTGAGAGGGCTTGAATTAGTTCACTTGATGGCTAGAAAAGCAACCATTTAACATGCAAATTGTACCGCTAAGAACCCTGACATGCACAAATTGAGAAGCTATGAGTAGAGAGAATCATCTTTAGAGTAAAGAGATGTCGATTGAGTAGATGGCAATTAGCCCATGATGGAAAACTGAAGAGGGAAGAAAACCCAAGTCTCCAGAATTAGGCAAGCTTTGACCGTTCTTGGTTACATATACCGGTAACCAAGACAGTGGCTATACCAGGTTTCGAGCAACCTGCAAATTATTGTTTCGTGTCTTGTTGCTTTAAACTTGAGAAAAGAGTACAAGACCGCCTGATTTTCCTCCATTGCTTTATAGGGTTCTAAATAGTATTACTATGAAAACATAAATCTCTGTAACAAATGGTTCGGTCAGTAGAGCTTTCAAGCATATAAGCAGGCTTGATTTAGTTAACGTCCTTCATATACCTTTAAACTTCTACTCGGTTTTAAACTATTGCTAGTTTCTTTGTATACAGCAGAATAACAGCAGTGACATAATGAGTTGATATCTGTTATGTTTTAAGTTGAAGCTTTAATCAAGTTCTAGTTCAGGAATTGAAACCAAGTTAAATACATGAAATTTATTCTTCTGAAGAGGACTCTCCTTAAAATTCCTCTCAACATACCCTTGTTGATCAAGAGAACTTCCTTCTGATTTAACAGGACATAGATTTGCCAAACTGAGAAACAACCTTGCAGCTGAACAAGAATCCATAGAAACACACCTTTTTTATCTGTTGTATCTCTTTCGCTACAACCTGGCTACTGTCAATGCAATCACTGACTACCAAAGCGCCATTTTCCATCATAATAGACACCCTCCTTTTAAACTTCTTTGGTCATTAGCCTGTGGCAATTCGCTTGCAGTGTATGATCTGGCCCCGTTTTCACAAAGCTCACTGTTCCTCCCCTGATTCTGACTAAGTTTACCTCTAATCTCAGAATTTTCTATCTGGTTCTCGATGACTAGATGCTATTATGAGAATTTTGAACCGCAGAAGTTGGTTGGGGCACAAACAGCGTCTAAGACAATATTTGCTCGACATGAGGGACAATACGCGTGAGCCCCTAGACAAGTATCAATACAGGAAATATGAAAAGCACGGTTGCATTTAAGCAATAACCTGACTGTCTACTCTTCATGGTCACCCTTCTTGTACTTTAGAAGGGCGATTGAATTTATGATTGATTGTTGCAAACCAAGAGTGGTGATGAACCAAATAGGATGATCAACTCGATTCTAATCAAGAAACTCTTCATCTAAATCATCAGTTTGAGCTTGCGGTTGCCCGTTATTACTTGACCAGCACCAACCTAAACATTACTTGACTACAATGACGTAGAAGCCAATAAGAAGGAAGAAACTGGCTAGTCCAGAAACTAAGATGATCACAAAAGGTGAGATCTAATGGTTTTGATCTGACAGAGACGCAGGAGGCGGTGGTGGCAGAGGACGTGGATAATAATAGTCAGGATAAGAGTACAAGTTGTAAAGGCAGGCAGAATCACAGAGGTCAGGGGAGTCTACAGTTTGGTTTGTTTTCTGTTTTTCATTGCTATGAAAAGAGAATTGAAGAAAGATGAAAGAAAGAATACCTAATAAGTTGTAAACTTAAAACTTTTGTTGAATTGGAAGAGAAGAAATGAAGAAAATTAAGCAACATGTCTCTTTCAGGGTTTAGTAAGGAGTAGACCGATGTGTATTTAGTATGTGTTTGGTTGTGTTTACCAATTGGTATTACAACAAGAGTTTCAGGTCTCAGTTAGTCTCTGCGCAGATAACATTGCCAATAATTAGCTCATCCTCTAAAGCTTAAATGATTTCTCGCCTTCATTTTACTCTCAAAGTCTTAGCCAAAATCAAAATCATGAGACTGCTATAAAATTTGTTCAGACCCAATTTAATAGCTCATATTGATGCAGAACTACTAAAATTGGAACCACATTTACAGAATTTGTTTAAGTTCTTCACACCAATAAAGAGCAACTTTCCAATGCAAATAATCTAGCAAATTTCTAGCTGCAAGTGACCAATTATAACATTTCCATATTCAAATGGGCTCAACAATCTGAGGCAAGCTTCATTAGATAACATAGAGAGCATTGCTGATCATTTAACAACATACCAATCCAAATTATCAAACAGCGTAGGGGCAATCTTGTATTCATTACACAATGTCTTATTTTTCAACAAAGTCTGCGAACAACAAAAGATTCATAACTCAAAAGTTCTTCGAAGGCAAAAGAAAATGCCTTCAACTCTCTACATACCTATGTAGCAATTATTGAAGATACCCCGCTATAACAAAGAGGCACACATAGGATGCAAATCTTACGATACTCCTGCATCAGGAAAATAAGTAATAGTTAGTGACCATCCAAGACTATATTCTTTTATTGAGCAGCAATTAACCAAAAAGCAGCACATTTAACTCAGTACTCGATACGGTTCTACAATAAGCAAAATTTCATGCTCCAAAATTTTCCACCTAAAAAGACTCTAATCTTTATCAATTCATTAAGTTTGTAATTAAAAAATTTATCCTTAGACGAATTTCCAAAACTTACTGATGTAGCCTTTTGCAAATAATTACAAGTTGATAACCTTACCCTTGTTCCGCAGGAGGAGAAAACAAATTCAGCTAAGAGCTACAACAATCAGAGAAATAAAACAACGAATCCTTTTTTAAAATGTCTTGTCAAATTTATGAAGAAATCTATTTTGTAGACCCTTAAAGGCTGACCACCAATTATCAGGGAATTGAACCAGGAGAGTCACTGCAACAGTTAACGATCTAGATCACTAGAAGGTATTGATAAACCCCAGTTGCAGGAATGGACAAATCATAAAGAATAAGTCGTCATTCTCTGGCATACATGTGTTATTAAAGCATATCAGAGTCTTTGAACGAGATGAGCTCTCTATTGCTATGCAAGCGAGGGCAGAAATGTTGGACTATCTAACAACCTAAGGAAACGGGTTAAAGCTTCAAGGATGGACAGGCTTACTACTGAATAGTTAACCAAGAATAAAGAGTCATGGAAAATCAATCCTGTCAAGGCAGTCGCATATGGTGGCAACAAATTATCAAAGCCTAGCTTCAGATTAACAAATCAATCCTGTCAAGGCAATTGCATATGGTAGCAACAAATTATCAAAGCCTAGCTTCAGATTACAATCAATCCTGTCAAGGCAATTGCATATGGTAGCAACAAATTATCAAAGCCTAGCTTCAGATTAACAAATCAATCCTGTGATGCATCTTGGATTGCAGCACTAAGCAGAACAATTCCTATCAAATTACAATCAGATCCTTTTTCTAACAATAATTAAAAGGCAAAGGGGCAGGGAGGAAATCATCAATAATATCAGTACAAAAGTAATTAAAGCCCATAACCCAAACACCAGTAGTCATACAAAACCCTAATTAAAGATGATTCCTTTCCCCACACAAACAAAAAGCAGAAAAACAGAGGAGGATAGGTAGCATACGAACCAGGAGAAAACAAAAAGGGCAAAAGCGAAAGACAACTTATTTGGGGGATTTGTCGTTCTTGGAAGAAGCGTAGTTGGGAGGAGAGTAAATAAGAGCGGCAACCATGGAGCCCGGCAGCACCACGTACTTGGCTAAATATGCCAGCTTTGTCACCAAAGGCTCTCCCCTAATCAACGCCATCTTATTTCTCTTCGCCTTCGCCTCTAGATCTTCTGATCACTTACTGCTCTACTGGCAGTGTTGGTATCTTTCGTCTTCAATATCTACTATCCTCGACGGAGCTCCAAGTTCCACCTGCTGTTTGCACACTGAATTTTTCATATATCTAACTAGTCTGAATGTGTACAGCCTACAGGGAAATTGAGGCCAAGCCAAGCCCGCCATCTTGGGCTTTCTAGCTCTATCTAGCCGAGAATACGGGCTTCATCCAATCTTGGAAATCTACTTAAGTTTGTTTTCGATGGGTTACTCTTGGGCTTCAATCAAAACTTCCGATACAACTCGAGCTTCAATGGGCCTGCCATTTTTGCTGTCCTCTTCTCCATTTTCCTTTTCCATTAATTGCTTTGCATTGTATTACACTGAAAATTAGTACATTACATATTCTGAGCAGAAATTCAGGTCATAAAGCTTATGGCTTTGAATAACAATGAAGATTAGACAAAGAGATGGCAGAAAAGCTTCAAAAGCACTCTTTAGTATTGTACACAAATTATTACTTACTATACTTGCTATTGTATATACATACTGCAGGTACAAGGAAAGAAAACAAGGACGCAGGTCGGTGGGGGTTGTTAAAGATTGAGCCCAAAACCAACTTTCCCATGAGTAGTTGAAACAAAGGGAGGGTCGGACATTTGATCCCGAGCATTATGAAAATTAAAACGGAAAGATGTTCTCAGAATGGGATGATGATGATTAATTAGTTGCTTAGGTAAAGACACTTAATTCATCTGATGTACAATGTGGTTGTGCTTCTTCAATCAGTTTTAGTACGTTTTGATCATCACGTTGTCTGGATTGCATATGGTATTGAATAAATTAAGGGAAAAAAGGAAAACAGAAAACAAAGAAAATTAAGGTTGCAATGGCCACTCCATAGCTGAAATCAACCAGCAATAATTAAAAGCGACAAGGAGAGAGTCCAACTTAATTAGACTTTGCAGATGACAGTTCATACGTGAAGCTTGATGCATGCGATAAACACGACAGCAATGATAAACATTAGCTAACATGCAAGTGTCAGTAAAGTCTTCTTCATCTTCCTCTGAGCTATGACGGTGAGATTCATCATTCTTCTTTGACGAATTACGTGCTATTAATGAGAGAGAATGGGGGTTGGTATGAACTTTCGATTTTTTAAAAATTTTAAAATTTTATAATATATTTTTATTTTTTAAATTTTATTTAAAATTTTATCTTTTTAATAATTTTTTTATTTAATGAAATTTATTACAATAAAATTGTTCTCCAAATCTACTACCCTGAGACCCCGTAATGGACTCACTTTTTATTCACCTTCAAAAAATGAAATTTTAACTTTACCATTACGTGTTGTGTTGTAATCCATTGATATCAAACTCATTAGGTTTCATAACACAAATGAATGGAATTATATAGGAAATGTTGATTATATGAAGGAACAAAAGGAAATTTGCAGCAGGGAAGGAAGAAAAGAGCTATAAATATATAAATATATTGATGAAATTATCAGATACAGAAATTGAGAAATAGAACAATGATTTGATTGATGGGTTGAGCCTGTCAAGATATATAGTTGAATATTGATCTGGCTTATCGCTAGGGACGTCTGAAAGGCAAAGGCAGGAGACAGGGCATGGATCCCGAAATCTAAATTCCAAAAGCGAAGTCATGATATATCAGATATCTCCCACACGTCGGACAAATTTAATCAAAGGAGGAGAAGCGAGAGCACGAGGAGGGCACATGGCCTTGGACGACAGAGAGCAGATTCGGAATGAGCCAGAGATAACTAAAAAGAAAAAAAATCACGATGCACGACAACTCGCCCCCAAAGCTTGCTACACACAGATGCCTAACATGCATGCAAATGCAATAAAACCAGTGTAGCTAGCTAGACAGTGTGGCAAGTCCTTGCCCCAAGTGGCATGTGCTTTTGTTTTTGTTTTAACTTTTCCAACTAACTAATAGTCTTTCTTAGTTTCTACTTCCCGGTTTTCTAGTTTCTGTTCCGAAACAATGACTCCTAACCTACATTCCTCGCCTGATTGACCAGTCCAGAAGTACTCTTCCCTCCCACCCTTTTGACAGGCAAATTTATACATAGATTTATGTTCGATATCTAGATTGCCCTTTTCCCGCATTCAATTCTTCTTCTAGCTAGCTTCTAATTCACAAAATTAACTATTCTTTTTTCTTTGAAAGGTATAATTTGTATTTCATCTAATTGATTTACAAATTGCTGCCATAAGACTGGGTTTCTATACATTATCAAAGACTTATCACAGGAAACTACAACCCTGAAAGCAACTCAGAATTTACCAAAACATTTACATACCACCAGGATTGGATCATGCTTGACAAAAATAACACAACCCAACCCACAAAATAATTAAATGCAAGATCTTTATTTTTATATTTATGAATGGCACTTAGCTGTTATATCAATCACAATGAGAAGGACTTTAAATTTTCTTAAATTTGTTTTCCGTTTTGATGAGCATCAAGCACCAAACTAACTAATGTTAAATATATATATAATAACTTCGAAATGAACTAAAAATCAATTATTCTTTATTTTTATACTTGCAATCCAATCTGTGTAGTGTTAGTGTGTAGGTATACATGTGTTAACATCATTTTTTACAGAGAAAATATCTTAAAAATAATTCAAAAAATTTTTTTCAAACTTTTTTAAAAATACAATATATTCTTACTTAACGAAAAAAGAAATCATATTAACAGTACCTTTAGATCATTTAACAAAGAAAGAAACTATATTAATTATATTTTTAAGCCCTTTTGAAAGACTATATTTTGAACATTAATTAGTTGGGTGCTTGATGCTGATAAAGGAAAACAAATTTAAGAAATTTAAAGTCTTTTTCATTGTCATTGATGTAAGAGTTAGGTGCCATTCATACGACATGTTCCTTGGAATGCAAGGTTACGTGATACATATATATATATATATATATATATATATATACATATATATAGATGTTCCTTTACAACCGAATTGAATTGTATTAATTTGTTTCCTTTTATCTCGAGGAAAAGGCAAAGAAAATCGCAGGGGAAAAATGAAAAATAAAGAGAGAAGATGAGAGAGAAATGAATTTGGGAATTGTGATGTTTGTTGTTTTCCAACGGTTGCTGTCAAAGGCATTACGCCACAGGTACAGAGAGAGCTGATGCTGACTGCACCTCCTTCAATTATTAGTTCACAATCACAAAGAGTAAAGAGGAATCGAAGATTTTTTCTCTTTCAAAGTAACAATAAAAATAAAACAATATTTAGCACGGAAGGATCCTTCTCTCTCCCTCCTGTTTATTAGCCATATATTAAGATTATATACTACTAGTACAGTACGAGTAGATTCCAGACTTTTTATTTTTTTAAACCTTTTAAAATTTCTGGTGTGAATGTACCTATCCATGTTTTCCATTTTGACAGCTTGCTTCTTTATTCGTTTCTGATGCAATGCTACTACTTGGCAGTAGCATATGCTTCTGTGTTGTAAAGACTGAATTCTCTTCTCTTCGAGTTAGAAATTCAGAAGCTTTAATCGGTTCATCTGGGTTTCTGGGTCTTAACCAGATTTGTTATGTTCTCAGCGGAAGTAGGCTGAGTGACGAATGAATTCAGAGAGTGGCCTGAGTCAGTTGAGTGACGTCAGTGGCCAGGTGCTTGAGTTTGACAAAATGTTGAAGGGTTGTTGAGAACTTGAGAGAGAAACATTCATTGGATTTCCCTTTTTTGTTCTAGCATCTAATGCTAACCGCCTCTCTGTGGTTCCACGTCTGGCCTGGCAATAAGTTCAGTACAAAAAAAGGCTTTTATTTTTCCTCTCCTTGTCTCCAATATAAAGATTCCCATCGAAGAAGCCCCTTCTTACGCTTTGCAGACGGTTTTATTCACTTGTATACAAAAGGCCAGATCATTGTGCTGCAAAGCTGTACCTTTTAAACCTCATAGTTGCTTATCTCTTTCTCTTATAAGCAAAAAATAACCCTCTTTTTGCTTCTGCAGCCTCTTTTGTACTTTAAATTCACTGTCTTTGTCTCAAAAGTTTCACTTGACCTTTTTAGCTCACGGTAGGTCAGCAACCTGCGAGATCTAGATTCTTGGGTGTATTAAATTTGTTGTCGTCGATGGTGATTGATGTCCTAGTTTCTTTTACCAATCCAAGTAAAATTGTTTTCTGTTAGTGAGTATTTGGGGTGTTGTGCTAATGTGGTTAATGGTTTGATGCTAGAGTAGACTGCTAGGGTAGGTTAATTGATGCAATCGTGTTTGGTGTTTTTCAAGTGACGAAGTGTTAATTTATTAACTCGTTAGATCTGGGTTAGTGATAAAAATGGTGGATAGGTTGATTTGTGATCTGGGTTCTACTCTGCTTGCAGGTTAGTCCCAGAGAGACTGTTTGATTCATTGGTGAAGAGATGAGGGGAGCTGCTCTTGTAGCGATTGCTGCTACAATTGGTAACTTTTTGCAGGGATGGGATAATGCTACGATTGCTGGTACTGCTTCTTTCGCATTCATATTGTTGCCTACTTATTTCTACTCAGCATGAGGCAGTGAATGTTAACCAGATTTTAAATTTGAAATAAGAATTCACGGACTGCATATTCTTTTTTTCTGTTCAAATCATGGTATTACCTGTGCTTTCTGATATTGCTGGTTGGAATTCAATGGAATGAGAATTGAGTCGTTTCAAAGCTTCCAACAAAGAATATCTAGAACTATATGCTGCTAAGCTGTCTTTGGTTGAATTCTGAAGGCCTATTCACTTCAGCAATCCTTTTTTTTGGGTGCTTTCAGGAGCAATTGTGTACATCAAGGAGGACCTCAATCTGGGAACTAGCGTTGAAGGTCTTGTCGTGGCTATGTCACTCATAGGAGCCACAGTTATTACAACATGCTCAGGAGCTATATCAGATTGGCTTGGTCGGCGACCAATGCTGATAATTTCTTCAATCCTTTATTTTATTAGTGGTTTGGTGATGTTGTGGTCACCTAATGTATATGTCTTATGCATAGCCAGGCTATTAGATGGATTTGGAATTGGTTTAGCAGTTACTCTTGTCCCAGTCTATATATCTGAGACTGCTCCATCAGAAATAAGGGGATTATTAAATACACTACCACAATTCACTGGTTCTGGGGGGATGTTTTTATCATATTGTATGGTTTTTGGGATGTCATTGATGGACTCACCAAGTTGGAGGTTGATGCTTGGGATTTTATCGATCCCTTCTCTCCTATATTTTGCCTTAACAGTCTTTTATTTGCCTGAATCTCCTCGGTGGCTTGTGAGTAAAGGGAAGATGCTTGAGGCAAAACAGGTTCTTCAGAGGTTACGTGGCAGGGAAGATGTTTCAGGTGCATGTTTTGCTAGCTTTATGTTTTTTATTGATTTCTGTTTCTTTTTTGCTTTTTCTCCTTTTTGTGCATGTGTTGCAAATGATGGTACTTGGAAGTTGAATAGTTAGATACTCTGCTTAGAGCCAAGAGCAAGGTTTGATGCTTGCTCTGCTTGAGAGGTGTAATGTACATGGTAATAAACATAACTGATAAAATCTAATGAATTATAAGGTAGGAATTCCGATTTGTGATTGATCTTTGTTACTTAAGATTCAATATATTCTAAAGCAAAAGGCATGATGCATGTAGTTCATCAGAAACTTGACTAGCATTGGTTGATATTTTGGTAGACTATACAAGAGATTGGAAAGTTTACTGGTTTTATCTGTAATTTAGCATGAAAAACCTCTGTTAATTGTGAGGGTTTAGAGCCTATATATTGAGAAATTGTTTTGGTTAGGTAAAATTTGGCAATCCAATCCAAAATTTTGATTGCTTTCATTGTCACAGTCAGGTGTTCACATCTATGTTATGCCTCTTCCCTTCTGCCCCTTTGAATACCCAGTTGCTTTTATCATTTTTTTCTAACCACCCTAAGTTATATTTGAATAGACTCTAAATGTCTAGCTGAAAATTTTCTGTATGATATGCTAGGTAACTCATGTCACTCTGTCACACCATGTTATCATTGCAAATTGAAGAGGAGCATAAACATGTTTATACAGAAATAACTTATAACCAGCATAAAAGTGTCTACCAAATAAGTATGGTCGAATATGTAAGTAAAGCTAAGAATTGCATGCTTTTTCCGTAATTTGGTTGGCCTCCTCTTGATAAATAGCAGTAAGGTTGGCATCATGCATGGAGTAGATTTTGGGGATGAGGGAAAGAAGAAAATTAATCTTCTGTATTCCTGTCTTTTGCATCCTTACATGCACTTGCCTCTCCCCACATCAGAATCTTTATACCTAACAACAAAGGAGCCTCCATAGCTTTTATGGTTACTTAATTCAAAATGATAGAAATTCCTGTGTCCTCCAAGTTTGCACTTATATAACTAGTTTGAGACTAATTGAGGGGGTGGATCTTGCTGAGACTTCCTTGATCTGCAGGTGAGATGGCTTTGCTAGTTGAGGGCCTTGGCATTGGAGGTGAAACTTCTATAGAAGAGTACATAATAGGTCCAGCTGATGAACTTGCTGATGGTCAAGAACCTACTGCTGATAAAGACAAAATCAGATTATATGGACCTGAAGAGGGCCTGTCTTGGGTTGCCAAACCCATCACTGGACAAAGCATCCTTGGTCTTGCCTCTCGCCAGGGAAGCATGGTGAACCAAAGTGTACCCCTTATGGACCCTCTTGTGACATTATTTGGCAGTGTGCACGAAAAGCTTCCAGAGACAGGGAGTACGCGTAGTATGCTTTTTCCCAATTTTGGAAGCATGTTTAGTACAGCGGAGCCTCATGGCAAAAATGAGCACTGGGATGAAGAGAGCCTGCAGAGGGAGGGTGACGACTACGCATCAGATGCTGCAGGAGGGGACTCTGATGACAATTTGCATAGCCCATTGATCTCACGTCAGACAACAAGCTTGGAAAAGGACATGGTTCCCCCAGCTTCCCATGGCAGTATTCTAAGCATGAGACGCCATAGCACTCTTGTGCAAGATAGTGGAGAACAAGTTGGTAGTACAGGAATTGGAGGTGGTTGGCAGTTGGCATGGAAATGGTCTGAGCGAGAAGGTGAGGATGGAAAGAAGGAAGGAGGGTTTAAAAGGATTTATTTGCACCAGGAGGGAGTCCCTGGATCTCGACGTGGTTCTCTTGTATCACTTCCTGGTAATGATATCCCTGCAGAAGGTGAGTTTATCCAGGCTGCTGCTCTAGTGAGCCAACCTGCTCTGTATTCGAAGGAGCTTATGAATCAGCATCCTGTTGGACCAGCAATGGTTCATCCATCTGAAACTGCTTCAAAAGGACCAATTTGGGCTGCTCTTCTTGACCCAGGAGTGAAGCGTGCATTGTTGGTTGGGGTTGGGATTCAGATACTTCAACAGGTAGTCCGCAGTTTTTTTTGGACTTCTGTTGGGCCTTTACCCAGCCTTTCTGTCATCCTGTCGCATTCTCTACATTACTTTACAGATTTGAATGTGCTTTGAAAGTCAAATATGGGCCATACCACTTTAAGCTGCAGTTGGATTAGCATTGATTCTTGAGATTAGAACCGATGATACCTTTGCTAGTAGTATGGGTTCCACAGTATCTTGTTTAACATGAGAGTAATTGCATGCTTATAGTTCTTTTTGCCCCTGGTACATAAAAATGGAAGTAGCGGCTGGCTACACATCAATGTTTTGCAATTTGTACCATAAGTAGAGAAGTTTGAATCTTTTATCTGTCAGTTGAGCTGATTATACTATGATTCCCATGGTAAATTAAACTAGTTTTTCTAATTTTATGTGCAGTTCTCTGGCATAAATGGAGTTCTCTACTACACTCCTCAAATTCTTGAAGAGGCAGGCGTTGAAGTGCTTCTTTCAAACTTGGGCCTTAGTTCAGATTCAGCATCATTTCTTATTAGCGCATTCACAACCTTGCTGATGCTTCCCTGTATAGGTGTAGCCATGAAACTCATGGATATATCAGGCAGAAGGTGATTTCCTTTTCTGAAATATTTTTTGCGACTTGTAATTCTGCAGTCTGGCTCTACTATATTTTAAATAGGAGAATAACCTTTTTCTTAATTTTCTCCATTCGCACGTAGGTTTTTTTTTCCTAAAGAAAATGGACAAAGAAACTAATACTAGTGTGTTGTTTGCAGGCGGCTGCTACTCACCACAATTCCTGTGCTTATAGTGTCACTTATCATTCTAGTTTTTAGCGAAATTGTGGATTCGGGTACAGTAGTAAATGCTGCTATCTCAACTGCATGTGTTATCATCTACTTCTGCTGCTTTGTCATGGGCTATGGACCAATTCCGAATATCCTCTGCTCTGAGATCTTTCCAACAAGGGTCCGTGGCCTTTGTATTGCAATCTGTGCGTTGGTTTACTGGATTGGAGATATCATTGTTACCTACACTCTGCCTTTAATGCTCAGTTCCATAGGCCTTGCTGGCGTCTTCGGAATCTATGCTGTTGTATGTGTCATCTCTTGGGTCTTTGTCTTCCTGAAAGTCCCGGAGACCAAAGGCATGCCACTTGAAGTCATTACTGAGTTCTTTGCTGTTGGTGCGAGACAGGCTGCTACTACCAAGAATGAGTAACTCACTGCTTTCAACGGTGTCAATTGCTCTGCAATGTCAGATGTTAAGCATTCATCCAACTTCAGTTTGGAGATTTTTTGCGCATACTTTGTATGAGGGATTTTCTTATTCAAACATTAAAATGATATTTTTTCCCTTTAAATTGGATTATGGTAACATACCAATTTAATTTGAGAGAATGGTAGAGATGGATGTTTCATGACATCTGTTCTTGATCAAGAGTCGACTGAGCTACTCCCTCCATCAGTTCTTGTTTGGAAGTAGTCTTAGAACTCGATATCATACTGCCAGTAATTTAGTGAAAATTCCTTTCAAAGATGTTATAATAAAAAAATCCGGTAATTCTTCAGATACATACAGGCCCAAATAATTGCTCTAAAGGATCTTAACATAGAGCAAACTGCATTTCAATAATCATATCAAACACTGCAACTATTTGTACAACCTTGCTCCCCCTTTTACAATTGCACCCCAGGCTTGGCTGTACCTCAAAATCAATTCCAGTGGTAATTCACAAGGATATTATCTTTCACATACTACAAAATCAGGAATTCATTGCTGAAAATAGTATTCATAAACTGACACAAAGGCCACCAGATATTTCAGGGTTTCTGCGTTTCCTCAGAAGACAAGTTGCTTTCAATGGAATTGGAGGCACGCTCTGGTTTAGGGGGCTTAGTGTCAACTGTGTGATTGTTAATGGGGCCCTCCTCGGCAAGTTCATCTGGCCTGGCATTTAATTTGAATGGCCTCTGGAAATCTTTAGCATTTCTACTGTCAATAAATAAATTATTCAATTTTTCTTCCTGCAAACAAAAACATTCAAGTTTTCAAAGGGAATCTCCAGAAATAAGGCAGCAACCTACAGTATACACAGGTAACCACGTTTACAACAGTAATCACTAACCCTATATATGCAAAAAGGACTTTGCATAATTATGGCCCCATTAAAACAATGAGTAGATAAAAAGTTATATAGATCAACGACCTGCAGATGTGAATCCCCAACACACTACACAGAATAAAAACTCATTTAAGATAAGCAGAAATGTATGAAGAAAACTCTTAATTTCATGCTAGCAACAGTCCATCATACACATTGCAGTTGCCAAAAGAATGTGCAAACAAATTCAGTTTCTTGGTTGATATAAGGCACTAATCTGGTGCATTTATCACTTGGCTTCTCATCCAAAATAACCGATGGTGTTACCATGTTGAGTTCCCAAACAAAGTCACCTACTTGCAATGACTACAAAAGATTATCAATATATAAGCCACCTAACCTGTGAGCAACTTATTAGATATACAATCGTGTTACCACTGAAAGACCTTAAAACTACTTACATTTTGTAGAGCTTCAAGCTTTCTCTGCAGTGCCTCATGCTCAGCTTGAATACGGAATGGAACACCATGTTTTTGGTACACATTGTTTTGCGCCAGGTCTTCATCAATGTCATTAGCAGTGGTTGCAAAAGGATGATTTGCAGGAATCCATCTGACTGTGTCAGGGTCAACATCAGGAGGAATTGAATCCCCCTCTTTAAGGAACATTGTAGGTCTCTTCCACTGGTATGCTCTTGACCTCCTTTTCTGATGGATAGCTTGTTGCTCATTGGTAAGTGTAACTGGAGCTAAGCGATAAAGCTTTCCACACATCTCTACAGTTGAATTGCTCTTGCCAACCTTCACAAATGGATTATTAAATGGGTCTTCATACTTGAGAGGTCTTGATCTGTAAAAAACAGATTTAAGAATTAAACTACACCATTAACACAAGGAATGCACATTGTAGCCAAAGCTGTGAAACGTGACAGAACTGCACACAACCTATAGTAGCAGTAATTAAAAATGATTGATCATACGCAATGCAATGCTAGCCCTTAAGAATAAATAATTACCCCCCAAGATTAAATAACATGAAATTTGCCCGAAAAGCAATAAGTTCATGAAATTTACATCCTTTGCAGAGGCAGCCACAAGACAAAGGAGAAAGTGTTACAGAACGAAATCATACATGCCTCTTCTATCTGATCTTAGCTGGCCACGCCTTACAAGATCAGCCACAGAACCAGGACGGCACTGCCTTGACTTCCTCGCCATGTATGCTCTCACAGCAACAACCAGAATTGCAATTGCAATGCACAACCCAATTGCAAAGTTATTTCCAGGGCATGTTTTCATCTGAGACAAACAAGAAATGGCCATGGCTTTTCATATTAGACTTTTTTTGTCAAGTAATCCATACAAACACTGCCTCTACTGGTTTTTCTGACAATGGCAATGAAAAGCAAATGTAACAATGACTAGCAAAACAAAGTAAACAATGATCAATACTGGAGTAATCCTTACCACCAATAGGGGTCTAATGCTAAAAAAATTCTATATAAGCAGTAAATGGTTTCAAGTAAAACTAATGTGCGCACAACATCTAACCTAGCAACTACATTTCAGGACCCTAGTATAAAATGAAACCAAAACCTGCTTAATCACCAAGAAAAATTATCCGTTTCTTATCAAATAAAATATAGATAACTGAATATTACCAGGAAAACAACTGGAGGGAAAGATGCAATGGATTCCTGAAAGGTGGAAAGTGGGTCTTTGGAATCTACCCCAAGAGTCTGTTTCGCCGTATCTACCACCTCATTTTGGGCACGCTGGTCCACATCGGAGCTCACTGAATCATTGATGGCTCTCAGCAAAAACTTTCTGTTAGTTGTTAGCTGAATCCAGCTTAGCTGTTGGCTTAGGCTACGATGTAGCAGGAAAGGTGTTTCATCTGAAGAAACCCGGTCCTTCCACCCCCGAATTGAAGGCTGTTATCACACAGTTGATCCCCCAACACACACAAAAGAAAAACAAAAACAATTCAATGGCAGAGAATATGTAAGAGAAACCATTAGGAAGAAAATTTTGGGATTTACCTGGAAAGGAAGGGAATGGAAGTGTAGACTCCAAACTGATGCCATTAGGATTTCGGAGATAGAGATTTCTCGTACTGAAAAACAATAACAGAGGGGTATTAGCCATCCCCTCGAGATTTAGTAGATAACAACAGTACGTTCAGGTTACGATTTGACAAATTACCGTTGAAAAGATGTCACTAGCAGAGCCGTAAGCAGTAGCCAGCAGACTCCTCACATTTCAGTTAATCACCCACCATGCTTCGTACTCCCAAAGAAATCTTCCCGAGTGTGTGACGAACTGTAAACCATCGGTCTCCCAGAAAACCCCCCAAAAAGAGAAATCTCCCAGCCTTCACGAAAGACCGAACCAAAGCATAGCAAGCGGATCCGTGGCGCAATGGTAGCGCGTCTGACTCCAGATCAGAAGGTTGCGTGTTCGATTCACGTCGGGTTCAAATCCCGCAAAACTTTCTTTTCTTTTTTTCACAATGGATTTTTTTATTATTTTTTATTTTTGGGTTGCTTGGTTCACTGAAGAATTTATTCTAGGACAAAGATGCACTTTGAACGACGACAAATTTAGGCCAGTCCAGTACATGGATGTCAATTTTGTTACAGGTATGTTTTTCGGCCCCTTTAATAAAGGATGGTTTTGTAGGTGTTGGTCTTTTTTCCCTTTTGAAAATATTTTTGAAGCATAAATACCAGAAATGATTGCTTTGAAATTCTTATGACCCTCCACCATCACTTACCCACTGAGCAATACTATAGAATTTCCCTAATTCTATACTATATGTTATAAATATTATCATATATATCCTACTAGTCCCACTTGACCTAGCTAGCTACTCTCAAATGTTGGCCAGCTTAATTAATTAACTAAGAGTCAAGCAAATTGCTCAACGTCCTAGATGCGCATTAACGTCTTTAATTCATATCCTCCTAGTTAATCAAGTTTCTTTTGAACAAGAAAAACAAATTTAAGCAGCTAGGACTAATTGACATCATCTTGCTACATAGAATGCAGACATGCACATTGCATGAGCGTTGAGCCAGACTCCCCCTCCCAAAACTCAATATTTCCATGCACCGTCTGAATTATCTCCACTGCTTGCCTGCCTTGGCCTTCTTTTATTTTCTCTGATAACGTTTCTTCCATGTGAATGTGAGATATATATATATATATATATATATATATATATCCTGTTGTGGTAAACGACAGGCTGGCGTGAACTCCCGGAGTGATGGGCCATTCTAGTACTCTACTGGACCATCCACCTTATTTTAATGGACGGCTTGAAAATAAAAGGGATATATTTTAAGGTTTTATCGATAAACAAATGGTCATAAACCAGCGTAAGGTGGACCAACGCCATCTTTGTTAGGTCAAGACAAGAAAGGAGATGACATAGTGTTTGAAAAATTTGGAGTTATCTTTATGTGAACATTAAGTAAATAATTAACGATATCTTAAGACATTAATTTACTCATTTTTGTTCGGAGTCTGCCAGTGGTTGTCACAATCTTGTTTCCATCACCTGTTTGTAATAAGAAACGAAGTTTGATAGTTAGTGATCAATTCAAAACCAACCCCAGTTGCCATTTTTAGGCACTGCCGACCTTATGCATCGGCAATAGCTTTGGATTTTCTAAATGTTAAAAAATAAAAAGGAGGCAATTCGGAAGCTGCCAAAATGAGTATTTAACTTGAAATATAATGCAAAACGACGGCATGGTGTTTTCCCCTTTTCTCTGGGTGAAATCATTGTCCAATGTCAATTGACCCTTTTTGTTTATTGCTTGCACTCAATGGACTTAGGAGGTTGGCACATACCAACCCCTTGGATTACTTAAATAATTACTTACTGGAGCATATGGTTTTGTCATGCGAGAAAGCAGGTTCTGACCTATGATTATAGTGGTGAAACAGGAGAGAAAATTCTTAAAAGAAAAAAAATTCATCCACCCCAAGTTGATAAACAAGAGGAAAGTCTTGGGTGCTTTTAACCCCTAGTAAGTGAAGAGAAAGTTACAGCATTGCATGCTCCTGGACGTGCAACGAGAATCCTGATACCCAGACCTACCAAATAAAAAGAAAATGAAAAACCCAAAAGGCCAAAAGGCAAAACAAGTTGCTTAAACATGTAGCAACCCACTTTATCTTGGCTTATCAGGTATAAAAGTACCCGGGAAAAACAAAAGAGATCGACTGTTAACAGCATCAAAATCAAAATGTAACAGGAGGCGGTTCATGAATGGGCAAATCTTTTCCTTTCAGATTGCATGATCGTCCTACAAAAAAGCAAGCAACAGATCTCTCTTACAGGCTCAAGTGCTGGAAATGAAAGGACTCGTGTTTGACAGGTGCTCCCGCTTTCAGGATTTAGATTCTCTTCTCTTCACTTTAGATGGTCCTCCTGCCATCTTGAGGGGGTCCCATTTCTTTCCACCGATTCCATGGCCCATTTTACTTTGTGATTTGCTTTCTTTATTTCAAGTAACTGTCATAAGAATTCAGGCAACGGGAAACAAAAACCAGCCCCCAGTCTCATTGAGAATTTGAGATGGACATTAGTAATAAAGAAAGAAAGAACATGTAACAAAAGCCACTTCAACATGAAAGGACCATTGCGAAAGAAATTCCTGAACTGAGAGTTCAATCATTTTCTTCTGGTAAAAGCGAAGAACCAGACTTTAACCAAAGGAAAAAAGAAAAGACAAGGAAAGTGAAGAACCAGACCACAGTCCGAACAGAACAAAAAGGCAGCAAAGCAAATCAACATAAGGGGTACACTTACTTTAACTTCAAAACATAGCTTAGATCAGCTCAGGCTGTATTTATGAATTAATGCAAGCTGTTCAGGGTCAAGTGTTGGCATCTGGGATGTTTAGTTCCAGAGAAGTATTGATTACTTGACAAAATGGAAGGGAACTCACATCACGGAAAAGTTGCTCAATTTTCATTCTGAAACCATTAATCTTTTTTGTGTGGGTAATCTGAACTAATCATGTCCTTACAGGAATCTGACATTCTGAATTCTGCCTATATTTTTTACATACATAAGTACCACTTAACTTATACATACACCAAACCAAATAGCACTACACAGAAATTCGAATAAAGTCCAAACCTAAATGCTAGTAGTAGTAGTAACAATTCAGGAGGCAAACTAACCTAACAGAATTAACTTCGAAAAGAAAGAAAAAATGGGGAACCCTGAGACTGAGAGGCTAGGGCAAGAACCTATTGACATCATCTTCACGCTCCTTCAATCCGACCTCAGAGTCAGTTCCAGAGGTTGAAGCCCCCGACCCGGGCAAACCGCCGCACTTGCGGCATCTGGCAACTACCAGAATCTGACGGCAGGAAGGGCAGGAAGAATGGGACCCCAGCCAAGTGTCGATGCAGGCCACGTGGAAGCCGTGGCCGCACTGCGGCAGCACCCGGATTTCATCGCCCACCTCGAACTCCGTCAGGCAAATCGCGCAATCGGAGAATTTGGCAGAAGATTCAGCTGAAAAGGTGGCTTTAGGGAGGGACTTGAGGATCTTCTTCTTGAGGCCCTTGTTGGCAGGAGGCGTAGGACGGGGTGTATCTGCTGGGTTGGAGGCAGAGCCGCCGGAAAGTCGGCGAAGCCAGGCGCAGCGTGCGACAGCGATGAGGCCCAGCACGCAGATAAGGGCGCAGAGGAGAGCTGCAAGAATTACGACGAAGTCGGAGTCGACGGTTGCCGCTTGTTCAGGCGGCGGCGGAGGCTCGCTAGTTGCCGAGGAGTTGGCGGCTCCTAGGAGCCTGAAAGGACGAGTCATGTGCAGAGAGAGAGAAATTCGTTTATGTACCGTACCGTAGTGTTGGTGTTGTGTCAAGTTGTTCTAACGTTTTCTGTTGAAGTAATGATTTTAGATGGGTTTTTATAGTAAATCAAGAATCTCTTTGATTTCGCGGTCTAATTTGTTTGTTAATTACTACTACTAGAATAATTAATTACCACCATTTTTAATGTTTCCTTTCCATGAATGACCCTCTGTTTTTCAACTCATTCATCTACACCCCTGCATGCAAGTCTCCTCATTTTGACTTCAGTATCATCCCGTAATAATTGTCAAATTCGTTTGAAAGAACTGTCTTTTCCTTCGATCCCACCCTTTTTTTATTCTACTGATACAGTTTAAGATCGAAAGTCGTATTTTTGAATTATGTAGATCATGATTTTCCTTATTTTGCCAGAATGAATGAGCAAGAAAGAGGAAGCCTAATACTTTGCCGGGCAAAAGAGAAGCAGATTAAAAGGGTCTTGTCTCTGCTGTTGCCAAAGCAAAAGAAAAAAAAAAACAATGACAGAGGCCAAAGATGGCTAACAGGCTAATTAGTTCTTCGATTCTTCATTATTTTTTTCGGTTCCCTTTCTTTATGCTTTAGGTTGCTACAACAAAGGCTCTTTGGATTGTCTTTTCGTGTCAACCAAAAGAAACAGAGAAGTTGCAGCGGCTTGTGGTTTTGTACCATTAATGCTGATACACGTTGGGAAGTTAGCTTCATGTTCTACTCTTTGTTCTCAAATCTGCTTAAGTGTCTCGAAACTAATGCACGTATTTCTCTTCGGGACAAATTTTCGGGCACCCTTTGATTCGTTGTCACTTGTCAGATAAACAGGGTGAAAGCACAATATCTTCTCCACGTTTCAAGATTCGATTGCTCCTTGTTTTGAATTATTCGGGTTAATCTGATCATTCATCTATATTTTTGCTTTAGTGAGTCGCTGATAGACGAGCACACAAGGGACAAAAATGACAAGTGAAAGGAATTACCCTGAAAAACAAAACAAAAAGAAGTGGTGGGATTTGAACCCAAAACTATGTATTTTTAATTAAAAGAAATGATATTGAAGAATGTAGTCCACTTTTGTTGACCAAACATCAACAAGCGCCAGGGATCCCCATTCCACATCAGGCAGCATGATGGACACAATTTTTAATGCATTTATTGCCCATAGCTAACCTTGGGTGCATTTGTCCGTGCGTGTTTCCCATTCCCATTTTGTTCTTTCAATCCAAACTTTGTTTTTTCAAGGTTTTAACGTTTTGAATGATCATACCACACACATGTCTACATATATTAACAGATGGAAAAGTGGCTATATCTTCTTTACGTATTCATTGACGATTTCTCATCACCTAAGCATGTTGAAAAGTGCGTGGGAAAAGTTTGTTTTCAACAGTATCTCCCACGAAAACGTTGCCCAGGACCACGAGGGATGAGCTTCCCAACTCTTCGCTTTCCAGATTTGGACACCAAGTCAAAGTCTCCGCCCAACTACACATGCCTAGGCAGCGAGCAACGGACAAGTTGTCTCTCGTGACGTGCGAGTCAAACTGGAAAGTTGTGAGCCATTGCCAATCTCATCCTCCTCCTCGGTCGTGATTATCCTTTTATCGACCCCCTTGATATCTTCATGCTCTCCCACTCCCACTACCCACCTCCTGTTTTACAATGTTCTTCTAGCCTACTCAAGTGAACTACCGTTTGAATACGACTCTTGTTTGACTCGACCAGTGCAAGGTTAGTGGAACAACTTGGCTTATGGTCTTACCACTAATTATTTCTACCACTTTATAGGTTTTGATATTTAATTTTTCATCCCTTGCCTAGTAATTTTTAATCAGATTTACAAACAGAACAAGGTCCACTAGCACAGACCCCTTGTACCTTGATTCCGGGAAGTGGCGGGCCAGGTTGAGTGGGAACTGCAAGGGGACGACGACACATCCCTTCTTACTTTGCTCTTTCCTTGTTGGAACTCATGGCCCCAACACCGGCTATATCTTTCTCTCTTTTTCAGTTTTTCAATTTCCGAATCCTCTCATATCAGGATGATTTTTGTGAGTTGTACAAAATGAATCAACCATGGTAAGATGGTGGAGAATCGATGATCAAAATTTTCTTGAAATCAAAACCATATCTAAGACCTGCAAGATGTGGCATCTATCTTCCAGGCATATAATTCAGCATGAGAGTTGTATCATCAATTCCCGACATGTGGCCCGTTTCCTACATGGATTTTAGTCGAAAATGCGTCTAGCCTAAAATCCGGTTGTCATTTTTTGAACCCTTCCCTATGGCGGTACAAAAATTCTAAACCCATTCAATCACCATGGCAAGGCATAAGGATTTGACTGGAAGAAGAAGAAAAAGAAAAAGAAAAAGAAAACCCCAAAACGGAAGAAAATAGTCAATGAACCATGACACCAATCAGCCTCAACACAGCTGTCTGTCCATCAGAATCAAAATGAACATTATGTTTTTGGGACTCACATAGCTCACCACCAAATGAGGTCAATCTTGTACATTCTCACAAATCGTATCTTATGTTCCATCTACCATTAATGTCAGCATTGAGGGTCCAATTATTTTCCCTAATCTGCATATATGGAACCTGCAAGAGGAATTTTCACCAAGAAATTAAAAAAAGGAGAGCTTAAACAAAGGAACTTCAGAAGTTAACGGGAAGAAAAGATACAATGCATAGATTACTAGGAGGAAACCACAAGCAAAAATTGACTCAACCGTTCTTGTTATTCATATTTAATGCTTTCCACATCAAAATTACTAAATTTTTTGCACAAATTGTAAAAAGCAATCTCATGTTAAAAGAATTTACTAATGTTACAGTGTACTAAGATTCCAAGTGCTCTAAAAAGTTGCATTTGGGTGAGATAACAAGATGTTGCAAAGATGACAAGTAGGGTGGCACATGGAAATTGATAATTAGATGTTTCACTACAAACATGACTTGGAAAATAAAAAATGCAATTAAATCCTAGAACTAAGACTAGTGCATTTTTAAGGCTCTCTCCAAAAACAAACTGAAACATGCCCAAATGATCAATTGATCAAGATAGATGATGGGCAACACTAAAAATAAAAAAAAGAAGATATAGAAATAATTAACATTTAATACATTTCCCTCCCAAAGATCGATATTTTAGACGTTCAAATACCATTTATAAAAAGGAATTACCTTGTCAAATACTTCATAGCCAAGTTTGAGTCTAACATCTTGGTCTCTCTGGAAATTGAATATGCTAAAAGTAAATTCAGCAGCTCCTTCTGACTTCGTCTGTCATGATAGTTGCATAAACTATTAGTAACGAAAGCTAGAGCTATGTATAAGTTAGGATATGGATTACACTCATAGGAATAAATAACTGCAGTTATCTCCCTAAAGAATCACTAGAATTAAAGGAAGCTTTGATGGCATCATTCCAATCAAAAATAAGAAAGAAGGAAGAAGTGTGTAAAATGTACTCATGGGCATCAATTCAAAATGGCTTTTTGAGGAAAAATTGAATCATGTGAACCAAAATTAGCAAGAATTATTCTTCAAACATCAAGCACTAAATAAATGCTCTGAAAACTTAAAGGCAGCACCAACCCCCTTGAATTCTTGGTCAACATCGTATCTTCCCTTGACAACGAAGTTTACCAAACCATTGTTGGCTACAAGAAAAGACTTTTTTCCTCGCACTGTGTACCGCACCTTATCACGCTTATCATAGCGCATTCCTACACCAAGGCTTGTAAGTAACTACAGAAACTTATCAGTCATGTTAATAAACTTGGAAAACAAAAAGCTAAAGTTTGCAAGTGAATGTTCGTAAAACAAGAGCATAACTATTGGGGACAACATACATCAGGATAGAAGTGCCTTATCATAGCACAAAAGTTACTCGGGGCTCCAGTTTTTGTGTCTAGCTCGCCATGAACCTAATGTACAGATACAGAAGATGTAAGAAAACAATTACTACAATAAAATTTCAATAAAGATTACTCAAATAAAATGGATTCAAGATGTATACGTGTACAATTCTCCCCTAATACGACAAAAGCATAAGGTCACTTAAAAAAAACAATTTCCTTTTGGGTATTTGCAATATCTAGCATTCACGTTCAAATCTCAATTTTGAGCTGCCCAAAGGGGTAAATATCTTGCAGGCTGAATAACACATTTAATCTACGGAAATTGCAGGAATTCTAGCACTCTGCTACGCAATAAGGAATCAACAGTCTGGCCAAGTTAAGCAAGGAGCACACCAGAAGTCAAAGAAATGATAAACAAAAGCTGGAAAGAAACCGTAATCCGTAAAGTTTCAATCTTTAATTATATGTTTAGTAGTGAAATCCTACATCTCAGGGATAGAAGTAAAAAGGCAAAAACTGAAAGCGCAAATAAAAGCAGACGAGCCGAGAGCTTGGAGAAACAAACCTGCAAATGGGTTTTGGAATCGATAGGAAACTTCTCCTTGGCGTGGATTCTTAGAGCTTTGGAATCTCCACCGTACCTCAACGATGTCTCCATTTCTTTCTATCTGCAGTTCCTATCTAATCTAATTTTCTAGTTTGTACGACTACGCAACGCACTTGTTGAAAGCCAAGATACCAGAAACCTAAAGCAACGTGTCAAACTTGCGGGCTGAAGGAATTTGGGCCTGGTCCTGGTGAACTACTTGAAAGCCCAATTTTAGGTGGGCCAAATCCAGCCCATTATTATGAACAGAATCCGACCCGGCCATCGAGCAGTTGGAATTGAAGCACGTTGCAATAAAAGTAAAACAGAGGAGGAAGAGGGTAGGAAAAGAAAAAAAGAGTTAAGCCGAGAAAGTCTGAAGTGAAGTCCGAAGTGCATCTGGTGGGGGAGAGATTGGTCGATAATGGAGATTTCGAGGTTTGGTTTACTTGTGTTTACAATCGCAATTCTGGCATCACCGGCAATCTCCGATCTAGTCCTCTCCAAAGTCGATCGACGCGTAAGTTTCCTCTTCTCTTACGTTTCTATCTCCTTCTCGATTCAATTTTTCATTTCCCCGTGTTCTTTTTCTCGAGGCTTCTAGGGTTTGTAATATGTTATATTTTTAAGTTCCTTTTCTGTGATTGATTCGCTGCATCTTGTTATTTTCATTTTTTTTGAGCTTCATTTTCCTGTTTCGGGAGATTCTTTTATCGATCTCAGAATTAGTATCTTTGGTTGACCTGCCGGTATCTCTTTGATCTCTGCAAACTGTAATCTTTATGCTAACGGCGTTTCTTGTGGTGTTGCAGATTTATTTGACATCACAAATTGTACGGATTTCTTCAAGTTTAAAGGTGCTTCACTAATGCTCATTGCTCACTTTTCCTTTCACTCTGCAGTTGCTAAATCTCTCAACTGTTTCTCTTTTTTTTTTTTTTTGAATATCGGTTCTCTTACAAGTGCTGTGATATTGTCTTCTAGGTGGAGAATGGAGGTCCTGAGATGGTGTCTGAGGTTCTGTTGGCTTTTCCCGAGCTTCAAGCGAAAAAGTTGGCATATTTGATGGCTACCCAACATGAAGGAAAAGGGAAAGCAAAAAATTCTGCCGCTGCTCTCCCTGTTGAGGTCGCCAGCCCGAAAGACATGCCTCCTGCTTTAACATTCTATTCAGTGTCATTGCCTAAGGGATTAGCTGAGGGTGATAGCTTCACTTTTGATGTCTTGGCTGTATATACCCATGCCTTGCAACCTATTCCTGAGCAAATCACTCAGGCTGATATTCAGCTTGTAGTTTACCAGGAAAGTGCATACTATCTATCTCCTTATGTTGTCAAGGTCCAGTCCCTAAGCATTAAATTGCCCGATTCTAGAATTGAATCCTATACAAAACTGGAGAACACAAAGATTCATGGTTCAGAAATCAAATATGGTCCTTATGAGAATCTTCCTGCATTCTCGTACTCACCCATTGTCGTTCATTTTGAGAGCAATGAACCCTTCGCTGTTGCTCAGGAATTGGTGAGAGAGATAGAAGTCTCCCATTGGGGTAACGTGCAGGTCACCGAGCATTACAAGCTCGTCCATGGTGGTGCCCGAAGCAAGGGTGAATTTTCCAGGTTATTTCTCTTATGTTTCCTTTTTATGGATTGTGGTGAGTGCCACAGGAGGTTGGAAGTTTGTTTCTGACTTCTTGCCTTGATGCTGCAGGCTTGATTTCCAGGCTAGACCAAATCTTCGAGGTGCATCAGCCTTTAGGTATCTTGTTGCAAATTTGCCACCAAGGGCTCATTCTGTTTATTACAGGGATGAAATTGGCAATATATCAACATCTCATCTGTGGGGTGACTCCAAAAAGGTTGTAATGCAGATTAGGATTTAAAGAGTATCTATCTCTAGGTATTCTATTTTTACTGAAGTGCTATTTGTCTTTGCAGACTGAACTATTGATTGAACCAAGGTACCCCATGTTTGGTGGCTGGAAAACTGCTTTTACCGTTGGATATGGCTTGCCACTTCAGGACTTCTTGTATAAATTAGAGGGGAAACGCTTTCTTAACATCACTTTTAGTAGCCCAATGGTTGAGTTGATTATTGATACTCTCATTGTGAAGGTTGGTAGCATGTAGATATTTTGATTTAGATATCTTTCTTTAGGCCTCAGAATGATGGTGGGGTGGAAATTGATTGGGAGTATCTATCCGAACTTTGCCTGAAACTTATATTAAAAAGTGTATTTAAGTGCTTACAACTGTTATTCTATTAGGACATGATATATTTCTTAGTTATTTATTGTGTATAAGACATGTTTTCCACGAAAAACTGAAGCTGCAGTATTATTATGATCCTCAGAGCTAAGATATGCATGTGTGATATATTAGTTGCAGGCTGCTGAATAACAAGAAAATTGCTTTACTAGCAGCCTTACCTTGACGTGGTATTTTGATTTACAGGTTGTGTTGCCCGAGGGTTCTAGTGACATATCTGTATCAGCTCCATTTCCTGTGAAGCAGTGGCAAGAGGTATTAGAAGGCTTAAGATTTTCTGTTGCTATTGACCATATATTTTTATAATTTAGGGTTCATGTTTGTGCAGAATTTGGAATCTGAAGGCTGTGGTTTTTTATATATAATGTGCTTATGATTGTATGCAGGCCAAAATCTCCCACTTGGATATTGATGGTAGACCAGTAGTTGTGCTGGAAAAGACTAATGTTGTGCCGGAGCACAACCAATATTTTCAGGTATTGATGTTTTGTCCATTTTCAATCTGAATGGCGTGCACACTGGTTCTAGCATATTAGCGTAAGGCCTCAAGTCTGATATCTCCAAATGAAGAATATTGGATATTAGGATATATAATAATCTTATATTTACAGAGTTATGTACTTTAATGGATTGATATTATGCTGCACTTCTTGTTCTGATGTTTGTTTACTTTTCAGGTCTATTACAAGTTCAACAAACTATCGATGCTTAGAGAGCCACTGATGCTAATTTCAGGATTTTTCTTTCTTTTTGTTGCTTGCATTGTTTATATGCATGCTGACATATCAATCTCCAAGTCTTCTGCTTCTTATTTGGCTAAACAGCAGTGGGAAGAGGTGAGTAGGATTACACTACGCTGTTTACTTGGCTCTACCTATAATCATCATGTACAAGCACATCAGTTATAGACTTTGTTCTCCATAATTTCAGGTTCAGGGTGCGATTCAGCAGGTTCAGAATATCATAAGCCGGTGCTTGACAACACATGATAAGCTGGAAGCATCACTACGTGATCTTTCTAGGACAGGGGATGTTCAAGCCTGTAAAGCTGCTCGAAAAGCAGCTGATGGTTTGTTAAAGGAGCTGTCAAAAGAATTGAAACCATTGCTGACCTTCTTACACTCTTCTCCATCAGCTGCTCAAATATTGCCCAAGGTTCACCTGTCTTTTACATCATTGGTGTTTTTGCTCGGCTTTTCTAGATCAATTTGAATATGTGATTTTGGCCTTTCAGATTTTTCATTTGTTGCAACACCTTATTTTGATAAAATTGGTTAACCCTTGATTTCTGACAGTATTTTAAGTTGAACTTGACTGTGCATGACTGAAATATTCTGTTTTGCTCGGGATGTCAGTAGCATTTGTACCGTCAAGTTTTATTTTGCTTTTATAGACTGTTGGTTAAGTCATTTCTTTTGGATGTCTGTATAGGTGGAAGAGCTGGTGGCTAAGGAGAGAGAATTGCAAGAGAAGGTGATGGCAAAGCATTCTACAGTGGTGGATGGCTATGAGAAGAAGTCTGGGGCACGGGATATTGAGAACCGGGTGGCGTTGCAGCAACAGAAACTTACAGCATTGAGGCAGGAGGTTGACGATCTTCTTGAGTTCATTGATGATATATAAAGTAGGCATAGTATATTGGTCCAAACAGATGACCTTGCCATTTGTATTGCGGTGGTCAGAATTTTGTTTAAGGATTCTAGATGAGTTAACCCTGGTTTCAATGTTTTCTTCTTTTGTTTATCTCTGGAGCGTTGTTTGTTCTTTAATCTATATGACTTTTACATGCAATTCAATATTGAATGGTTAAATCTCTGCCCAACTTACCTTGAAAGGGAAAAAGAATCAGTTAGCAAGGATGATTGGCTCCAAAATAATCAGTTTTATTTAAGTCAGCTCATAATCGGAGTTTCTCAGGAACAAAGAAACAAACTGATTTGTGTTATCATTGATATTCCACTCAGGATTTAAAATTGACGTTCCTGACAGGACATCAAAATAAACAGGTCTGTACAAATATCCACCCAAAGCAAGATCTTGTTCAGTATTGGGCCGTAAATTACGACGAACAATCTCAGTTAAAAGGGCGAGAGACCACGAGTGGGGAAATGGGCGTAACTGGAAAGTAAAGGCCTTTTCCACTGCCATGCCATTTCCGGGAGAAGGTAGAAGTGAAAGGCTTTACTTCTCGGGTGGCATCACTTGCAAAAGCTCAATGTTTAGCTCGAATGTGCCTCCTGCCTGCACAGAACATATATGAATATCTTTAGTTTGGGTCTTTAAAACTCAATTGCTGACCTGACAGGTTACTTTGTCTCCAAAAGAAATATAATATACATGCTGCTGAATGAGGCAGGATTTCACAAATCTGCCTATTTGTTTAACTACTACTACGATGTCCAGTCTGAAGACACATAGCAATATTAAAGAATTCAAATCTGCGGATCGTGGAGAAAAGCTATAGCTTCACCAATTTTGTCAGCCATTGAAAAGAGCTACATTACATAAGACACAGACAAGGACTTTACCGGGATCTCATTCATTCCTTTCTGGCCATAGCCCGCCTCTGGAGGAACAATGACAGTCCTCTAGAAAACATAATATGAGAAGATCAAACAAAAGCTTGTAAAGTAATAGCTGAGATGATAAGAAGGAAAGAGGAGATTTAGAGAAGTTATCAAAACCAAACGAGTAAGGAAAGAAAGCCGATGTCATTACCTTTCCCCCCACTTTCATTCCTTCGGTTATTGAGTACATAGCTGGTGGGGGCTTTGGTGCAGCTTGTGCAGAAAACAACCCATTTGGGTTGTCTACAAAATCTCGTTTCCTTTCTTTCCCTGGAGTAGCTCCAACCTTGAATTCATATGGCTGAGTTAAGAATGACACAATGAGTGTTACAAGATCATATTTTTGTTAGGAATTCTTGACATCTCTGGGAGAAAATGCTACTTGTTTTGATTGAACAGAAATAGTCCTTGGTGCTACCACTGCTCCCAGACACAAATGGTATATATACAGATAACAGGATATAACCTGGGCAATGATACGATTCCCAGCTAGAAGTTTAGACTCCCGACTTGAAACAGCAGTAATACCACGATATATGCAGTCAAAGTGCACCTGAAACCGAAAAGAGAAAAAAAAAAAAAAGCAAGGGAAGAGGGTTAATATGAATCCACAAATATAGAATAGAACGTATTCATTTACAAAGAGACCTGTACAGTTGATCCTTTTGCTGCTACAGAACCCTTTCCTTCGACAACATCATAGTATTTCAATCCCTCGGCTGTTGATTCAACAACAAAAAGCAAAGGACAGTTATTTTCAAATGCTCATCAAGACATATTTTCAAGGTCTATTCTCACCAGTTGTGCAGCATTTGCCATATGCCAATACGTGAAACCAAAAGTTGACTTGTATGTTCTAATTTCGGTAATTTATGGACTGAAATTAGCAACCAAAGTGAATTTGATACGCGAGATTATGACAAAATTGAAAATTGTTGAAGAAAAGCGAAAGAATGGGATGCACAAAAGGCACAAACGATCAAAAGCTAAAGGAAGGGAGCAACTAACGGGTGGTGAGATAGTCTTCAATGGGGATGGTCTTCTTGTTGCGTCTCTCTCTGGCCTCTGAGAACTGGGGCAGTGACACGAGAAAGAAAGGCACTGAAGAGACTAATATCGCACGCCTTCTCGAAATGGGCATTGATAAAACAACTTGCTTTGTGTTGTGCGTTTGATTTGCACTGCATTTTGAGCAGATTTTATGATAATCAAGGTTCCATCTCTGTAGAATTCTTACTGATGCCATGACCCCCTGGCCCTGCTGCAGTTGGAAAAGGCTAAGGTCGTTAGAAACCCAGCAAAGCCCACCGACATCTATCCATTTGGCCTCCAATTACCTTTATACCCTTAACTGTTCAATCTTTCCCTCTTCCTACCTTTATCATCACTTCTCAAGTATTAATGAAGGCTATCTTAATTAT